CCGAAGCAGGAGGATCGCTTGAGACCAGGGGTTGGAGGGGCTGCAGTGAGCTAGGATGATGTCACTGTACTCTAGCCAGGGTGACAGAGCAAAATCCTGTCTCTACAAAAAAAGGGGAAAAATTAAATTTTTTAAGATGGCATTTTGAGGGGCATTGTTTTTCTGATTGTAAACTGACATGTGGGTTAAACCCATGTTTTTATTTCACAGGAACTTTACTCGGAGGTGCAAACCCAGTATCTTCCGCAGGTGCTCAGCTGCCTGGTGCAGCCTCTTGCTGAGGAAATGGAGGCCTTAAGTTTACCTGAACTCACTCAGGCCTTGAAGACGTGTTTCAAGGTGCTCAGCAAAGTTCAAATGCCGCCTTCCTACCTAGACACAGAGTCTACAAGTGGAACCTCGGTATGTGCTCCAAGGAACAGAAATAGTTCTCTGGGCAGAAAGCAGCTTATGCCTTCCTGGAAACAGAAAGAAATTAGGGTTGGTTAGGATGGGAATAAAGATGAGAAGATATGTGGGCGATATGTCAAATATGCTTGTAAAATCCTCGCACACTGTAAAAGATTTTAGCATAGCTGTTAACCTCTTCTCCTTCACTTGCTCCCATGCTACTTCCCTGCTACCTAACTATAGTTAATGGCTAGATACAGTTAATGACTACATTACTACAGTTAATGGAGAGAGATAGCTAGCTTCTGTGTATGTTTGTATACATGTGATTTTGGTTATTTAAAATATAAATGAGATCCTGGATTAATTTGGTAGGCTTTATATAGCAAAATACCATAGACTGGGTGGCTTAAACAACACAAATCAATTTTTTCTCACAATTCTAGAGGCCAGAGTCTGAGATGAAGATGTCAGCAGGTTTGGTTCCTCCTCCGTGTGCTAGGGAAAAATAATCTGTTCCAGGCGTCTCTCGTAGCTTCTGTTGGTTGGCTGGCGATCTCTGGCATTCCTTGGCTTGTTAAAGTGTGTCTGTCTCTGTGTCCAGATTTCCCCTTTTTATAAGGACGCCAGTCCTGTGGGAGTAGGGCCCACCCTAGTGACCTCATCTTAACTTGATCATCTACAAAGACTCTGTCTTCAAATAAGGTCACATTCATGGGTACTGGGGTTAGGACATCAGTCTCTTTTGGCGGAGCACAGTTCAACCCATTATATACGCTGTTCTCTGATTTGCTTCAGTTTTCATTCAAACTATATTTTAGGGACATCTTTGCATAGCGGTATACATAAAAGTATCTTATTCTTTTTTACCTTCTAGATAATGGGCTATTATATAGATTTATAGTGTCTTCAACTATTCCCCTAGTTATTTAGGTTATTTCCAGTTTTTCACTGTTAAAAACAGTGCTGCAGTCAGCATCCTCATACAACTTGTCCATCGGACTAGTGTCTCTGAGGGATAAATTCCTAGCAGTGAGTTACAGTAAAAGGACATGCATGCTGCCTTCAAACTGTGAGAGACGTTGCCAAATTGTCTTCCAAAAAGACTAACAGTGATAGTCCCGCAAAGAGTTTCCCTGTGTTCTTTGGCTTGTTGAAATGTGTCTGTCTCTGTGTCCATATTTCCTATTTTGTATTTTATTTACGAATATTGAAAATTTTTCCCTTGAAATCAGTTCAGTGCAATGGCAAACAGGTGTGTGAGCAGACTAGAAAGTGAGGCATTCTGAGAGAGAGAGCGAGCGAGAGCGCTGTGTACATCAGTTGGCATTTGGAGATAAATGAGCTTCTGATGGGAGTTGAATCTCAATTTACAGACTAATTACAGACTGTTATTTCAAATTAGAAGTTCTCTTTTTTTTCCTAGCTGCTCTAGTTATTGGGAAAAAATATCCTAAAAATGATTTAAGATATGAATCTTAAGCATGTATAGTATACAAATATGAGTAAGAATATGTTTCAAAATTGCATGCTCCCTTCTTATTCTTCCCTTCAGAGCATGGTATTAATATTTTCGATGCTAAAGGGTTTCAGATTTAGCTGGGTGCAGTGGCTCATGCCTATAATCCCAGGGACTTAGGAGGCAGAGGTGGGAGGATTGCTTGAGGCCAAAAGTTCCAGACCAGCCAGGGCAACCCCATCTCTACAGAAGATAAGAAAAATTAGCCGGACAAGGTGGTTTGCGCCTGTAGTCCCAGCTCCTTGGGAGGCTGAGGCAGGAGAATCACTTGAGCCCAGGAGTTCAAGGCTACAGTGAGCTATGATCATATGACTGCACTCCAGCCTGGGTGACAGAGCAAGACCCCATCTCTTAAAAAAAAAGAAAAAAAATTGTCAAATTTAATGTAATATTATCTAAGTAACAGTATAGGAGAAGAGAAAAGGTTGATCCATTGAAGTTTGAAGTGTCCTCACTTTGGAAAGCCACCATGTGCATGCGTGTGTGTGTGTGTGTGTGTGTGTGTGTGTGTGTGTGTGCATGTGCATGTGCATGGATGCATACATAGGTATTTTTGAGCAGACTATTCTAGCTTTCTCCTCTTACTTATTTCTTCATGGCTATATTTTACCTGCAGCTCAGTTTCCTCATTTATATTTTGAAATTTGGCAAAAATAGGTTTTAAATAACTTTTTTGAATCCCAAAGGATCCAAATGAATAAGACAAAGTAGGCTCAGGATCCAGCCTGCCACGGCGCATGTCAGCACACCGGCCTCTTCTCTGGGCCACACCACCCTCCTTCCCTGCTTCACGTGCCCTCTGAATGTCCACACCACCCTCCTTCCCTGCTTCACGTGCCCTCTGAATGTCATCACACATCTACACAGGGATTCTCTTGGTCTAGAGAGTTATGATTTTGACAGACAGGTTCAAAACGCATTCATGGTTTACCTGATTCAGCTGACACTTGAATCCCTTGTTTTTAAGAGATGCATAAAATGGATTTTTTTCATGTTTTGCAGAGTCCAGTAAAAGGTGAAAATGGCAAAATAATTTTGGAAACAAAGGTAGTGATTCCCAGTGATGAAGACACTTCCTTCCCCCCACTGAAATCCGAGGACAGTGGGATTGGGCTCAGTGCCTCCTCGCCAGAGCTCTCTGAACACTTGAGGGTTCCTCGAGTCTCTCCTGAAAGAGACGACGTTTGGAAGAAGGGTGGAATCATGCAGAGGACGTTTCTTTGCATCCAAGAGCTAATTGCCAACTTTGCCAGCAAGAACATTTTTGGAGTACAGCTCATGGCATCTGGAGAGGAAAGGAAGTCTGAAGTGCCTGCGGGGAAGAGGGACAAGGGTGGGACACAGAGCCTGGCTGTCGAGAACTCCAGCAGGAAGAACTCGTGGGAGGCCAAGCCCATCACCGTGCCCCAGTTTAAGCAGATGCTTTCAGACTTATTCACAGCACGAGGGTCTCCATTTAAGACAAAAAGTTCAGAGTCACCGTCCTCTTTGCCCAATAGCCCTGGCAGAAAAAAGGGGGAAGAATGGGACGTTGACCAGGTGGTCATTGACCTGGGGGGCTCTGGGAAGGACTGCAGGGAGGCCTTTGCTGCTGCCTGCCACCTGCTGCTGGACTGCGCCACCTTCCCCATCTACCTGTCCGAGGAAGAGACCGAGCAGCTCTGTGAAACGCTCTTCCAGCTTCCGGGTGAGAGCACGGCCCCACTACAGTCTACTTAGGGAAGCATATTACTGAGATAACTGATACAGGTTGAGTATCCCTTATCCAAAATGCTTAGGACCAGAAGTCTTTCGGATTTCAGATTGTTTCAGATTTTGAAATATTTGCATTATATTAATACTTACTGGTTCAGCACCCTTAGTCTAAAAATCTAAAATCCGAAGTGCTCCAGTGAGCATTTCCTTTGGAGCATCATGTTGGTTCTCAAAAAATTTGGGATATTGGATTTTGCATTAGGGATACTCAGCTTGTATTTACAGACTAAATGTCAGCCAGGAAGAGACTGTTGGGTGTATTTGTTTTCTTCTTTATTTTGTAATAAGTTGTGTACATTTTTGACTTGCATCTCACTACATGGCAAGTTGGCAAGGGCTGGGTCTGTATTTTTAAACCTTGGGCGTCCAGCACAGCCCATTAGAAGATCTAGAACATAAAAAATGCTCGGTAATAGTAAATAGACTATTTCATGATACCTGTTGTTAAAGATTTATGTACTGGTTTGCTAGGGCTGCCCTATCAAAATACCATAAACTAAGTGATTAAACTATATATATTTATCATATCACAGCTCTAGAGGCCAGAGGTCTGAGACCAAAGTGTCAACAGGGCCATGCTTGCTCTAAGACTCTGGGTAGAATAATACTTCCTTGCCTCTTCCTAACCTCTGATGGTGGCCGCAATCCCTGGTGTTCCTTGGCTTGCAGCTGCATCCGTCCTGCCCTGCCTTCACATGCTGTCTCCCTGTGTGTCTCTGCCTCCACGGGGCATTTTCCTCCATAAGGACACCAATCATTTTGGATCAGGGCTCACCCTGATGGCCTCATCTTAACTTGATGACATCTATAAAGACCTTATTTCCAAATAAGTGTCACCACCAGAAGGTTAGCACACTGCTGTCCGGGTGACTTTCTTGAGTAACTTCCCCGATTCGGGTGCTGTGGAGTCTGCCAACTGGGAGCCATCCTGACGTGGTTTTGTTTCTGCCTCTCTGGCTGGCTTCCTTTCAGGAGCCAACGATTCCGGTTTCCCATCTTGGCTGAAATCCCTTATGACCCTTTGCTGCTGTGCGTCGGACTGCTACCTCCAGAATGTGGCCATTTCCACTCTGCTGGAAGTGATAAACCATTCCCAGTCCCTCGCGCTTGTCATCGAAGACAAGATGAAACGCTATAAAAGCTCCGGACACAACCCATTTTTTGGCAAGCTGCAGATGGTGACTGTTCCTCCCATCGCTCCAGGGATATTGAAAGTCGTTGCAGAGAAAACAAACTTCTATCAGGTATTTTCCACCGGGAAGAGGGTGGGCGGGACCCTGTTTGCAGACCATTTATTTGAAGTCATTCTAAGTTTGTAGTCACTGACTGTGATAAGGAATACGGCTGCTCCGGTGGCAACTGCAGGGCAGCTGGAGACCTGAGACTGCCTCGCCCGTCTCTGTGTCCCAGGCTCCCGGCACATCTGCGCTCAGCAAATAGTTGTATTCAGGTTAGGCTGACTGGACTTCACACGTAAGATTGTACAATTATCTAATAATTAAGAGAAAGAGGCTGTGCCCTAATTTGTAAGGTTAAAGGCTTTGAGGTTTTGGTGTTGTCCATACTTCTTGGGGACAAAGTAAGAAAATAGTTTAAAGTTGTCAGTTGTACGGCTCATTTAATTGCAAGCACCTGAAAGCTATTCCAGCTATCTTGTGAGCACAAGTGAAGTTTAGTATAAAGTAGAGCCCATGGAAGTCAAAGGTGGGTGTGGCATGCAGCCAGGTCTCATGGGGTCTTGCCTGGGAAGCTGTGAACTCCTGTGGCTGCTCTCTGCCTGGAGAACTCGCTCTGCACATCTGCCCTCTGCCCACCTGGGCTCACCCAGCTGACTTTTGGTCATTACCCTGGCCTTCAGTCTGCCCCGGGACCCTCAAGCTTGGTTCCCATAGCTAATGATGCCTGCATCTCTTCCTTGTAACGCTGAACTAGATAGGCAAGGTTATTAAACAGTCTCTCAGTGAGGCTCCCTAGGGTCAGGTGCCTTCTGCTTGTC